TCACCCAGGATCACATTCACAGGCACTTAAAGTGGCCTCATGTGCACACCTAGAATTAGGGACCCTGCCTGCGCCATCCTGAAACAGATCCCGCTGGCATGTGCCAAAAATCAAAGTCCCCTAGTGCGTGGCAGGAGTCAGAGACCCCCTGTGTCCGCACTGAGAATCGAGTATCAGAGTCTCTGTTGCTTGGTGTGGTCTCACGCCGAGAATCAGGGTCCCTGTGTGGGCATGTGCCAAGAATTGGAGTTACTGGCTCTTAGTGTGAATGCACTGGGAATCAGGGATCCCAGGTGCATGCAATGAGAAACAGATTCAAGTCACTGGTGCTGCCTCTTGCATGGAAAATCAGGGTCCCCGGTCTGCTTGGGGGACCGAGTTGGGCAGTCTCCCTGTTTCAGCAGAAGGTGCACTCCTGCCCTGCGGAAAGAAGCCTTTCGTGTGTGCTTGCCCTGAATCAAAGTCAGGTGGCACTGCACCCCAGTGTGGACCTGGGGTTTGGTCATGTGAGTGTGCACTGCAAGAAACAAACTCCCTGTGTCCGTCACCCAGACTCACATTCAGCACTGCCTCCCTGTGTGGGCACAGAGTCTGATCACCGGAAACAAACTCCCAAAGTTTGCGCCCCCAGGCTCAGATTCAGCGCTGTCTCCCTGCGTGGGAGTGGGATCTGGTTGCGGAAAACAAACTCTCCAAGATCGCACACCAAGGCTCAAATTCAGCACAGCCTACCTGCTGGGGCGCACGATCTGGTTGCAGAAAACAAATTTCCCAAATCTGCGCCCCTAGGCTCAAATTCAGCACAGCCTCCCTGTTTGGGCATAGATTCTGGTCACGGGAAACTAACTTCCCATGTCCACACACCCAGGCCCAAATTCAGGTAGAGCTGCCGCTGCTGTGTGTGGGCAAGTGGCCTGTTTGAGCAGAGAAGGTCTGGCAGTTCCTATGCCTCTGCCGTGGGGGTGGCCAGGAGGGGGATTGGCTCTGTAACTCACAGGAATCTGCGGACTCGGTGCTTGGGGTCTTGGTGTCTGTGGGTCTGCAGCTGTGGTCACAGATCTTTTACCTGAGTGGCTGTAGGCTCCTGGTTTGCAACTGAGACCAGATTGGGTAATAGCGTGGCTAGGATCCTAGTCTCAAGCAGTTCTGTTCTTCAAGACGGTGCAGTCTCTGTGCCGGGGGTGTCCTCCCCGGAGTGTTTGTGGTGGCAGCAGGTTTTACCGTCTAAGCATGCCTGGTTTCACAGCCCTTTGAAAGACCTGTAGGATCTAGCTGTCCCTAGCTCTCACTCACACACACCACACACGTCCACACACTCCTCTATCGCTCCCTCACTCTCTCACAAACCCTCCATACCTTCTTGCTGGTCTCCATCTTTTTTTGGGTGGAGTGGATTTCTGATGGTGTCTTTATGATATGATATGGGGAATTTTAGGATAATTCCTAACAATATGGGTTGTTGTGGTGCTACATGCCAGGTCCAGAGCTTAGGTGCCATATATGTGCCCACCTGCCATTTCTTATTGAGTGCTGACCCAGTAAACAATAAGAATGAGATAGCATACATCAGTGTCACTTGCACTTGAAAATTCCCACCAGGGATGGGGAAAAGTGAAGAGAGAAGGGTGAGAGAGAAATATATTACAGAGGTGGTGAACTAGAATTTTAAGAAAGAAGCTGATTAGAAAACACCCTGTCCTTGTCATGGCTTGTTTGTGTTACCAGTGAAGTTGTGCCTTTGAGAATGAAGCTGTGAGACAAGTGTGGATCAAAGAACTATGGGCAGCAGGTAATGCAAAGTGATGGCCTCAGCAAACTGGGATTGGAGTCAGAAGTGTAATGGGCATTACCATGTTGTTTGGTGTCTTGGAGGCACAATTTGGAGGACAACATGGGTATTGCCTGACAGCACCAGTGTCAGATCCATCACATTCCCATTATGTGCAGCATCTCTTCCTACCCTGTGTTCCTGATACCCACTGTTATTAAAAGGGGGCAGTGTGACTCACATTTGAGGATCAGAAGACAGGTATCTTGTATCTGTTCATCTGCCTTTATTGTTGTGAGAAGACACAGCATCAGTATAAGGAGAGTTTGACTTTAATGGGACCAAGGCCTGCTATCTTCTCTGATGTGGGGAGTAAGGGAGCATATGGATGTGCAGGGTGGAGGGTATGGCAAACTTGGAATCTCAAGAGAGAATCTTATCATGGGATGTACTGTCTCCATTATGACAGGATATGAACTTTGAGGACGTGGCCATTGCCTTCTCTCAGGAGGAGTGGGGGCTTCTTGATGATGCTCAGAGACATCTGTACTGTGATGTGATGCTGGAAGTGTTTGAACTTTTATCATTCGTAGGTAAGACCTTCACATCTCTCCTAGTGTCCTGAGGTGATGCCCACTCTTTATTTATTCTCCAGACTTAGCACTCCCTCTCTCTCTCTAAAAGCCAGACCATGGGCTCTGCTTATTTCCCCCACTGTCTTGTCTAATGGGCTGTGGCTGCCAGTGCTGAGCTCTCAGAGAGCCCTGAGCAATAGACTCCATAAGCCTCCCTAACACCAGTTGCCTCAGAAACTGCAGGAAGTGTGTGGGTGTCAGCAGTCTTACAGACACCTTAAGGGGTCCCTCCTGCTCTTCCACTCCCAGGGAGGGTGACTATATCCAGATCCATGGCTTCCACTTCTGCACCTTTCCTCTAGGTAAGGACCTAGATGATTGCCTGTGCCAGGTATCGTCTTTACGTACATGCACCAGAGACTGTTCTTGTAAGACCCTCCTTCAATTGTTGTTTGTAATATTACCTTCTGTGAATATTATTACAAACCGAATGCTATGGGCAAGTGATGGCTGCTCACCTCTGTTGTCTTTAATTGATACTTAGAATATTTATTTTGTACATATTTCTTGAGAAGGGGGAGCAGGGAGAACCTCGGTTTTTTCCAGAGTGAACGTACAGGATGGTCCTAGAGGAAGGCTGGCCTGGCTGAGTGGCAACTGGGGGGAGGTATGACATAAAGATGGTGTTCAGATTGTACCAAGAACCTGCTCCTGTCCAACAGTGTTTGGTGCAGGTTCCAGTGGCCACACCTCATTTATACCTTTCCTTTTCCACACTTGACACTTTGCTGACTTGTCATTTCATCAATGACTTCTTAATTTGGCTATCTTCTCCTTTGTGTCATTTTTACATCACCTATTCCTCTGAACATCTCTTTCTGCAGTATTCTACAACATGAATCTATGCAAGTGTTATGAGGATCACATACATGCTTAAACACCCTCAAACACCAGCTACTTATATATTGAATTTTACTTGGAAAGTGATGTAACCAACCTTCTGCACAGCTTGCCCATGTCACCAGCACAGAAGATCTACTGAATGCTGTTAGCAGCAGAATGAGCTGGACAGTCCACTTATCTTTCATGTGGTACTCGCCATGTTTTTGCTCTATTTCTGTTGAAATCTCCACTGTTTTGTGATCTTCAGTGGTCAAGAACTTCACAGGGGCCTTTTATTAAGCCATGCTATAGGTCATTTATTTTCAACCAGTTGCATGAAACCAATGTAGTATGTGCAATACAGTTTTATAATGGGACTTCCCCCTGTCACCAGAGTCAACATTCATTTTCTCATCATTTCTCTGTTTTCAGGTCATTGGCATAAAATGGATGATGTGGAGGCCTATTCTGAACACAGTGTATCTGCAGGAGAGTCTCAGGTCAGGGCTTCCAAGACAGCTGCAGCCACCCAGAGGACCCATCTGTGTAAGCCGTGCTTCTCAGTATTAAAAGATATTTTGCACCTGAGTGAGTTACAAGTGGTTTACTTTGAGAAGAATGTGTTCTTAAGTGATGCATGTGTGAGAGACTTGTGTTTCAGTGCAAACCCTCACCAGCAACAGAAGGATGCCAGTGGAGAGAAGCCCTGGAAAGAAGATATGGAGAGTGCCTCGCTTGTGACAAGTTGCTGCTTCTACTTATCTGGAGTGCCTGAAGCCACTATGGAGGTTGGGGAAGACTCCCCAGGGTTTCTCCAGCACCAGGCCACTCTTAACACTGAGGAGCCACACAGTAACAATGAGATTTCACAAGAATTTCTCAGTGGAAAAAGACATCACCAGTGGGTTGAATGTGAAACAGCTGTCAGCCAGAAACAGAAAGTTGCTTATGAGAAAGGTCTCTGCTCTGAAGATATGATTGATGAGTATAATAAATGTGGGGAAGTGTGTAGACGAATCTTCAACCACCTTCAACACAGGAGAGTTCACACTACAGAAAAGCCCTACGAGTGTACTGATTGTGGGAAGGTCTTCAGTGAAAGCACTGCTCTCATTAAACACAACAGAGTTCACAATAGAGAAAAGCAGTATAAGTGTAGTGACTGTGGGAAGTCCTTCAGTCAAAGGTCTGACTTCACTGGACACCGCAAAATTCACACTGGAGAAAAGCCATATGAGTGTAGTGAATGTGGGAAGTCCTTCAGTCGAAGGTCTGACTTCACTGTACACCATAGAGTTCACACTGGAGAAAAGCCATATGAGTGTAGTGAATGTGGGAAGTCCTTCAGTCGAAGGTCTGACTTCACTGGACACTGCAGAATTCACACTGGAGAAAAGCCATATGAGTGTAGTGAATGTGGGAAGTCCTTCAGTCGAAGGTCTTACCTCACTCTACACCACAGAGTTCACACTGGAGAAAAGCCATATGAGTGTAGTGAATGTGGGAAGTCCTTCAGTCAAAGGTCTTACCTCACTCTACACCACAGAGTTCACAGTGGAGAAAAGCCATATGAGTGTAGTGAATGTGGGAAGTCCTTCAGAGAAAGATCTCACCTCAGTAGACACCACAGAGTTCACACTGGAGAAAAGCCATATGAGTGTAGTGAATGTGGGAAGTCCTTCAGTCAAAGATATCACCTTACTGTACACCACAGAGTTCACACTGGAGAAAAGCCATAATTATGCAGGGAATGTTTTCTTTTTCTCACTTATTATAAGAACACTTAAGGGGCTCTATGGGACCCTTTACATGAATGCAAACCCCTTTTATGGGAACATACACTTGCTAGGTTCCTCATAAATTTGAGGTACCAGTGAGACTTGAAGGAGCTGCATTGTACTTGCTAACATGCCTAGATCTACAACCCAAATGATGTCAAACCTGGCTCACCTGTGGAGTGTGCATTGGTCATCATTCCTGGGTGTTCAGGGGACTGTATTCTTTGTTTTCACTTTTGTTTGAAGTAATTATGGTTCCTCCAAGCTCTTGGCAGTATCTTTATTCATTTGCCTATGACTAGAAAATGGACCTGACCCAGGATTCATCCAGAGCACCAGTTCTCTGCTAAGAAGTGCTACCTCTTTCAGGGATCTAGTGGTACTCACATTATGCTTTGATAAATTTTGGGGGGATTCTTATTCACCAACCTGTAAACCGCTTGCTCTCCTCTGCTCTAGTTTAGGATCTTTTTTTAAGGTTTGTTTACATTTGTCCTTTAATTTTGGTTTTATTCGTGGCCACAGATGATTTGCAAACACAAATGTGATATGTCTGCATGCAGAGATGAATAGATATTGTGTCTATCCCAAAGTTTATGTGGTTTAGAAGGGAGAGCATTATGGCAGGAAATCACTTTTTGTCCAATATTGACTTATTATTTACTGCAGCCCATGGCCTTGAAATAAAGAACACATGACTTTGTGCATTTAATCTGCAGCCTAGTGCCTTATTGGTGAGGGCAAAGATCACTCTGAAGGTCACTCTGCTTCTGTGACCAATATGAATCATGTTCTCTGTTCACAGTATGTATTACATAAGCTTCAGCAGTGTTTAAGGAGCCTGCTCTCCATGTACTGCAAAGGAGCCATGTTCCAGGAAGTATGGAATTTCATAGGCTGGTGTCATATTGTAAGACTCTGAGGTGGAACCACAATTACGACAGAAAAACTGTTTCTATAGTGAGTGGGAAAGCCTGCAGTAAATTAGATCAAAAGGGCCTCTACTAAACATGAGGCCATGGATGTCCCAGGGCCTGTGGCTTGTGTGACCTTTATGTACAGACATTCTCAGGAGTTCCAAAACTGTTTCATGTAGCTGACGTCATTGGCATATAAAACAATCTAATGCTATTGTGTATTCCCCTGGCCCCTCTAGAGTGTTTACATAAGGTAGTTGCTCAACAGGCAAGAAGTCAAAGCTAGAGGATGGATAATCCTGCAATTTGTCCCAGGATGTGTCTTTTGTAAGCAGTCAGCATTCCTGTTGAATTTCATGGCAATAGTTTTTTTGTGTGTTTTTTAAGTATATATTTTTATGATTTTGGAGAGAAAGGGAGAGAGAGAGCAAAATATCAATGAGTGAGAATCATTGATCACTTTCTTCCTGCACGCCCTGCTCTGGGGATCGAGCCGACAACCTGGGCATGTGCCCTGACCAGGAATTGAACCTTGACTTCTTGGTTCATAGGTCGATGCTCAACCACTGAGCCACGCCAGCTGGGCTGATGGCAGTAGTCTTCACTGCTTATCAATATTTGCTGCCACTGAGGCTAGGTTGGTCTTCCCAAGAGTTGAGGAGAGGAATGGTCCTGTCTATATAGGGTTGCCATCTTAATTTTCTAACAACAGACAGAAGGATATCTAGGATTTATATGAAACCACCTTTCAAGACTTTACTTAGGTATATGTATAACTGATGAGCAAGGGAATGCACCTTTCTAATGTGTACTATTTGGCGAGGTTGAACATGCAGATAATGCTGAGAAACCATCACAGGTAAAATAGGCTTCTCTGTTACCCACATCCATGTTGGGGAAAAAGTAGGCTTACTGTTGTGAGTATGCCCAAACACACGGTTAATTCTCTTTTTCAAGTAACTATTTTCTCTATTTTAAAATGTATTTTTATTAAATTTTGAAGGGGAGGGAGAAGGAGAGAACAGCAATCATCTGCCTCCCGTATGACCAATTATTGGGGATTCGGGAAGGCATGTGCCCTGACCTTGAAGCAAACCAATAGCTTTCAGTGACCATGATCACAGCCAACAAAATGAGCCACCAATGGCCATGGAGAGTTTATATTTGTGTTGTTATTTATTAATCATTGTATTATTTCCACTGTATTATTTCCATTGTATTATTTAAGCCTACTTTGCCACACCGTGTATTTACCTCCAGCCCTTTTGTAAGCTTTCTGCCTTCCCAGCCCTCCATGCAGGCATCGATTTACCTTCCTTTACAGTAGAGTAGTTCATATTTTTCATAATTTTATTGGCACTACAGTGGGGCCTTGACTTACGAGTGTCCTGACTAATGAGTTTTTCGAGATGCGAGCTCTCTCTCGGCCAATTTTTTGCTTTGAGTTGCGAGCTAAAATTCAGGTTATGAGCCAGCTTCAGATACCCCACCGCTAGTTGGTGCAGAGAACATCACAGTGAACGCCACACTGATTAATGGCATTTCAATTCATTGTAATAGTGAAAATTGATTTAACATACGAGTAATTTGAGTTACGAGCTCTGTCACGGAACGAATTAAACTCGTTAGTCTACGCCCCACTGTATAAGGTGAATTGCCTTTAACAAGCACTGGCTTCCTTCATGCTACACAGATATTTTGAGATTCGAAACTATTGTTTATGCAAATAGTTAATTTTTCTTTTCTAGGAAATAATGTATTCTATGGATAACCACTTTACTGAGCTGTCTATGGTTTCAGTTATTTGGGGTTTTATATATAAAACACCTGGGCGCTAACTGGTTTGGCTCAGTGGATAGAGCGTCAGCCTATACAGGAGTCAGCTGGTCAATGTTTCTCATCGATGTTTGTAACTCTATCTCTCTACCTTCCTGTCAATAAAATATATTAAAAACAAAAATTAAAAAAAAAACAAATAAAAAGAAAACACCGGGGAATGTTGTATTCCATTCTTTCTACAGGTGTATGTATTAGGGATCAAACTGTTCCAGAGTCAGTGAATGTGTTACATTTTAACATATGGAGAACTGTGATCTAAAATGGTCAAACACTTGGCCTTCCCATCCACCCAGAGTAATGAAAATTCCATTTTTCTGCAACCCTGCTAGCACATGCAAAGGTTAATCTTTTTAAATACTAGTGCCATCAATGAGTATATTGTTAATTTGCTTTTGTTTTAATTCCATTTCCGTAAAAATGTTTGATGGCGACCATTTCTTTACACTATCTTTATCTCCTTTGTTTAAAAGTTTGCTCAGGATTTTTGTCTACTTTTAAAGTTAATTTCTTATTCTAACCAATGGGAGGACAGTGCAGCCTGTAAGACATATATTTTACTTTCACTCATTCCTCAATGACTCCAGTGACTTCTTTGCCATGTGGAATTCTTGGTTTGGAATTCTATATACAAAATATTTTTTCTCAATTTTTACTGTATATATGATTTATAGCCCACTTGTACCTTACACTTATAAGTTTAATCTGCGTTATTCACATTCTCTACTGGTGGTCTTTAAGTCTAAGCATTTAATAATACATTAACTGAAGTCTAGGTTGTAGTATTTTACATATTTAAAATATGTTTTTATTAGAGAGAGGAAGGAAGAGAGATGGAGAAACATCAGTGATGTGAGAGAATCATTGATCAGCTGCTTCCTGAAGACCTACACTGGGTATAATGCCTGCAACATGGGTATTTGCCCTGACAGTAATCAAACTGTAACCTCCTGGTTCATAGTTTGACCCTGAGCCACTGAGAAATACCGGCCAGATAAAACACATTTCTTAACATGCACTTTTATGGTTCCATACATGCCTGCATTTCTGAAAGCAAATCCTACTCCACTTTTCAGTACTTCCTAATTGGCACATGGAATTACTGATGAAAGGACATAATCGACCTTTGTAATAGCTTATTTCAAATATATCCATATAAAGAAAACACTTATGAAACTTCATGAATCCTAGTTTGATCTTCCATCACTATCTCTCGTCCCAGTGGTTCTGGTATCATTCTATTCTCAGATACATTAGTTATTTTACTTTAAACCCCTGATAAGTTTGGCCACAGTCAGACAGTTCAGTTGATTAAAGGATCATCTCAATAATGCCAAGGTTGCAGGTTCCATTCTCAAAGATGATGCAAGAATGAAATAATATAAATTAGTGGGACAACAAATGGATGTCTCTCCCTATTCTTTTTCTAATCAATATATTTGTGGGGTTTTTTCCCCACCAAATGATTCAACACATGTGAACATCATCACAGACCAGGGACCCTGTGGTGAACCAGCCATAAGCGTTCTCATGAGGGCAGAGCACACAGTGAGGGAGAGAACAGGAGGGGAGGGACCCTGCTCTCAGTGTGGAGGGTGGGGAACGAGCTGAGCTGCACAGTCACCCACAGGTAATTATGGCATCTGTGCTCCCTGAGACTAACCCCTAGGGAGCTGGGGAAAGCTCTGGGCCTGGATATGGGCCTTGTGGTCTCAGCACCTTCCAGCCAGGGGTTGAGACTGGGCTATTTTGGATTCAGGTAGTGGAGGAGCCCAGATCCCTCCCAGGTGTTCCGGATCAGCTCCTGATACTTGAGGACCTCAAATCACCTCACCTGCCCCTTAGCAGCCCACACACACCCCTGAGCCCCACAGGCATTGTTGGAATCTCTCTATTTTTGCATTTCTGGGTTATTTTCCACTTTTATTTCTTTTTTTATTGTTTTATTGCTTAAAGTATTACAAAGAGTATTACATATGTCTCCTTTTTTTCCCACATTTGACAATCCCCTGGCCTCCCCTACCCCCAGGGTCTAATGTCCTTTGGTTATGCTTATATGCATGCATACAAGTCCTTCAGTTGATCTCTTACCCCCCTCCCTCCTGCCCCCCAACACCCCCCCCCGGCCTTCCCGCTGCAGTTTGACAATCTGTTTGAGGCAGCTCTGCCTCTGTATCTATTATTGTTCATAAGTTTATAATGGTCTTTATTATCCATGAATGAGTGAGATCATGTGGTATTTTTCCTTCATTGACTGGCTTATTTCACTTAGCATAATGCTCTCCAGTTCCATCTATGTCGTTGCAAATGGTAAGAGTTCCTTCTTTTTTACAGCAGCATAGTATTCCATCGTGTAAATATACCACAGTTTTCTAATCCATTCATCTGCTTATGGGCACTTAGGCTGTTTCCAGATCTTAGCTATGGTGAATTGTGCTGCTATGAACATGTGGGTGCATATATCCTTTCTGATTGGTGTTTCTGGTTTCTTGGGATATATTCCTAGAAGTGGGATCACAGGGTCAAATGGGAGTTCCATTTTTAGTTTTTTGAGGAAACTCCATACTGTCTTCAATAGTGGCTGCACCAGTCTGCATTCCCACCAGCAGTGCACGAGTGTTCCTTTTTCTCCACATCCAATCCAGCACTTGTCGTTTGTTGATGATAGCCAGTCTGACAGGTGTGAGATGGTACCTCATTGTTATTTTGATTTGCATCTCTCGGATGATTAGTGACTTTGAGCATGTTTTCATATGTCTCTTGGCTTTCTGAATGTCCTCTTTTGAAAAGTGTCTATTTAGATCCTTTGCCCATTTTTTGATTGGATTGTTTATCTTCCTTTTCTTGAGTTGTATGAGTTCCCTATAAATTTCGGAGATTAGGCCCTTATCAGATATGACATTGGCAAATATGTTTTCCCACGCAGTGGGCTTTCTTGTTTTGTTGATGGTTTCCTTTGCTGTGCAGAAGTTTTTCATTTTTATGTAGTCCCATTGTTCATTTTCTCTTTAGTTTCAAGTGCCCTAGGAGCTGTATCAGTGAAGAAATTGCTTCGGCATATGTCTGAGATTTTGTTGCCTTTGGATTCCTCTAGAATTTTTATGGTTTCCCGTCATACATTTAAGTCCTTTATCCATTTTGAGTTTTTTTGTGTATGGTGTAAGTTGGTGGTCTAGTTTCATTTTCTTACATGTATCTGTGCAATTTTCCCAACACCATTCATTGAAGAGGCTATCTTGGTTCCATTGTATGTTCTTGCCTCCTTTGTCAAATATTAATTGAGCATATTGGTTCAGGCCTAGTTCTGGGCTCTCTATTCTATTCTATACATTGATCTATATGTCTGTTCTTGTGCCAGTACCAGGCAGTTTTGAGAACAGTGGCTTTGTAATACAGCTTGATATCTGGTATTGAGATCCCACCTACTTTATTCTTTCTCAGGATCGCTGCAGCTATTCGGGGTCTTTTTTTATACCAGATGAATTTTTGGAGTGTTCATTCTAGATCTGTGAAGTATGCCATTGGTATTTTAATGGGAAGTGCATTGAATTTATAGATTGCTTTGGGTAGTATG